CCGGGCCCTGCCTGTCGCGGGCCTCGTGCAGCTGCTCAACGGCCAGGACCGGTTCTGCACCACGAGCTCGTGCGCCGGCCGCGTGCTCCTCGTGCAGGCCCCGCCCGCCACCGCCGCCGCCGTGAGTGTCCCCGGCCCGTCACCCCCCGCCGGCGGGCCCCGGGGCCGACCTGTTTGGGGCAGGGATGCTTCTGCCTCGAGCAGGGCGCAGTGCCTGCGTGAGGGCCCTTCGGCCCTGCCTTGCTGTGAGGTCTGAGCAAGCCGCACGCAGCTTCCGAGTCGGGTTCCCCGGCCCGCAGCGTGCCCTCTGGGCAGCACACGGGGGAGGTGGAGCTGCCCTGGTTGCGCTCCTTGCCACCTCATGCTGCTCCTGGAGCTGGCTGGAGCCATGTGCAGCTGCATGAGCCATGGGGAGCCTGAGGGCCTGCTGCTGGCAGCAGGGGCTCTGTGCTATGGGAGAGGAGTGTGGGGGGTACCCCCACCCTCCCACCCTCTCTCTAACCCCCCCAACCCTCACACATACACACAGCTCCCAACATGCCCTACACCCCCCCACACACAGCCATACCTTCTCACAACCCCCCTGACTCCACCATGCATGCCTCCTACCCCCACACACAATATACCAAAGAAAGACTTTATTTTTGAGCTTTTATGCAATCACCTCTATATACACTGCACAAACATGTATAAATCAAGACAAAAATATTTTTTGTAATAAAATTAAAATACAGTATAGTAGATCTTTGAGTTTTAGTATATGGGTTTTTTTTCTGGTTTCAAGATGGCAAACCCCTCCCAAAAAGAGTACTTCCAGGAGCAAGGGGAGGGACTTTTGGTGGTAAAGATCACGGTTTTAGTGGCAGGACTTCCAGTCCTGACATGGCGACCAAGGAGTGGGGCTACCATTGCAGCCCTCAGCTCAACAAAACTCGTTAAGTGGCCCTCCAGTTGAAATAATTGCTCATCCCTGCCTTAGGGCCTCATCCCCAGAGGCAAGAAAGCAAAGTGCGGAGGTTTCCGTGCCAGCCCCACTGCTCTAATCCGTGCTGCTCTTTGCCAGGATCGCAGCGGCTATGAAGTACAGAAGAAGAACTGCGTCTGGCTCATGGTAACACATCACATGTGCACCAAAGAGGAGGTGGTAAGAGGCTGGTGCCCAGCACCCTGTTATACATAAAACTGTATTGCCTTCCTCTCATGCTCCAGAGAAGACATGAAGTTTGAATAGTGGCATTCAGCCTTGTGGTCCTGTGAGCCAGATGAGTGGTGTGGAACCAGTCTGTGTGTGAGATCAAACCCGGTAGGCCAGGATCGGGCCCAGGTGGACTTGGCTGGCCCAGGCATGCCCAGGTCAAGCCTGCATGGCCTCGGCTGGCCCCTACCTTCCCGGGATCAGGCTCCACACATTGAGATCAGTAACCCAAAACACTCATGATCACAAGGTTCCCATGATATAGCACTGGGGAGCCATATCTGACCTG